TGCGTGAGGGTGTGGGGGAAGAGGAGGGAGGGAGGGTGCTACAAAATGTGCTCTGGACCAGTGGATGGTTGTCCGCGTGTCAGACACTCGGCCGAGCAAAACGACCGCAAAACAACGTCCCCATCGCTTTCTCTCTCTCTCTCTCTCTCCCTCCCTCTCTCTCTCTCACTCTCTCTCCCTCTCCAGCCCTGCAGGAAGGAGGACACCACCCAATGATGTCCCCGCCTCCCTATAACCCGGTCCAGGACGGCTCGGGCCACGGGACCCCGGGGGCTTACGGCCCCCCGCCTCACCCCTCCGCCGTGACGCTAGGCACAGACGGCGGCTACATCCAGGAGACGCAGTTCAACGGCCCGGCCCAGGGCTACCCGGCTCCCCCGCCCCCCGCCAGCCACCCCGCCGTGCCGGGGCCCTACGGGCAGCAGAGCTTCGCCGTCCATTACCAGCCCTGCACCGCGTACGTGCCTGTCTACCCCATGGCCAACGTGAGTATAAACTTAGCGGGGAGAGGGGCTGGGGATGGGGGGAGGGGGGCGATGAGGGGGGTGGGGAGGAGAGCGCGGGGGGAGGGAGAGAGAAAGCAAAGGAGAGAGGGAGAGCAGAGAGAGAGAAGGTAGAGGTGGGGAGAGAGAAGAGAGAAGGAGAGAGGGAGAGCAGAGAGTGGTGGGAGAGCGGGAGGTGGGGAGAGAGACAGATGGAAAGAGTGAGATGGGATGAAGGGGGAGAGAAAGAGAGAGAGAGGTGGGAGAGAGAGAGAGCAGAGAGTGATGGAGGGAGGGAGGGAGGGAGGGGGAGAGAGAGGTAGAAAGAGGGAAATGTGGACAAGAGAAAGCCTCGAGGGGAGGGGAGCAGAGGGAGAAGTGGGACGGAGAAGCAGAGAGAGCGAGAGCGGTTGGGAGAGAGAGAGATAGAGTAGAGAGGTGGGACGGAGGGAGAGCAGCGAGGGAAAGAGAGAGGAAGGAGTCGGGAGGGGCGGAGGTGGGGGGGGGGGCAGGTGGAGAGGAAGAGGAGAGAGAGCGAGAGAGAGAGAGGGGGAAAGGGGGGGGGTGGAGGGTGCTATGAAATGTGCTCGAGGTCTCGCACAAGGGGGGCGACCCCCACACTCCATCTCTGGCCTCCACGTCAGGAGGGACTCGTATCTCACCTCAGGTGAGACTCATCCAATGGAAGAATTATTATTATTATTATTATTGTTGTTATTCTTGGCATTAGATTTTATTGGCAGGCGACTGCTGTCCAGCCTCCGAGCGCTTTGAGACACACAACAACAACAACAACAACAACAAGATTCCATTTAGAGAGCGCCTTTCACATCGGGAGGACGTCCCAAAGCGCTGGACGGTTGGGTCGGGACCCGAGCAGTGTGCGGGGGGGGGGAATGGTCAGGGTGGGGGAGGGGAGGGAAGGAATGTGGCCTCAAGACCCCGGACACTGAATTGAAGTGTGTGGGCGGTGCCCCGAACCCAACCCAACCGAGGAGTTTGGCCCCGCGGTCACCCGGAGGCGGCGGAGCGGGAGCGGCGGGGGGGGGGGGGGGGGGGGGGGCTGACTGGGCTCCAGGCCTCTCTCCGGCCTTCTCCCTCTGACCTGCTGCTGTCTCTGGGCTTCAGGCCTCGTCCCTCGTCGCTCTCCCCCTTCAGGGGGTCGTCGTTGCCGCCGCCGACAAAAGGCTCCTGAAGGCGCGCGGGAGCCGCGAGCGCCGACCGTTAGGCGCCGAGGAGCACGTGGGGGGGAGGAGCGGCGCCTGCGCGGTGGCGGCCGATACCCTTATATGGTCAGACCACGTGCTGATGAGCTTCGCGGACGGCCAATGGGCGTCTGTCTTTCAAATAGGGCGGGAGAGAAACACACCCACGTGACGATCCCCGCCAGACCACGTGACGAGGGAGCGCGCGACAGAGCCGCGAGGCGACTGTTCGGCGGCTCCGACTGTGAGGCGCCGAGGAGCGCGCGGCGCCTGCGCGGTGGCGGCCGAGGCCCAGTCTGGGGTGAGACCACGTGCTGAGGAGCCCCGCGGGCGGCCAATGGGGGACGCGGCGGGAGCCCACGTGATGAGCGGGAGTGGGCGGGAGACAGAGAGGCGCGAGCGGCGACCGTTACAGCTCGAGCTTCACATCCCCCCCACAGGGACAGTTAGAGAGGAGACCCCCCCCACAGGGACAGTTAGAGAGGAGACCCCCCCACAGGGACAGTTAGAGAGGAGACTCCCCCCACAGGGACAGTTAGAGAGAGGAGACCCCCCCCACAGGGACAGTTAGAGAGAGGAGACCCCCCCACAGGGACAGTTAGAGAGGAGACCCCCCCACAGGGACAGTTAGAGAGGAGACCCCCCCACAGGGACAGTTAGAGAGGAGACCCCCCCACAGGGACAGTTAGAGAGGAGACCCCCACACACACAGGGACAGTTAGAGAGAGTGACCAACCCCCCATTTGGACAGTTAGACAGAGAAGAGCCCCTCCCCCCATCCAGAGACCACGTGACGAGGAGAGCGAGACAGAGCCGTGAGGGAGCGGTGACCGTGCGGCGGCTCCGACTGTGAGGCCCCGAGGAGTGCGCGGAGCCCCGGCTCGAGGCGGGAGCGGCGCCTGCGCGGTGGCGGCCGAGACCCGTCTACAACAGCAACAACTAACGCTCATACAGCGCACTCCACACAGAGCGGCGTCTCAGGGGCTTAACAGGTGCACTGACAAACAGAAGCATTTCCAACTGAACCCAAATCATAGTTTAAACCATAACATATTCCTGACCCCAACATTCCGGGTTGACGTCGGATCAGACACTTTATTGGGAGCAAAGTTGACGCATTGGGTACAATCCGGACACGAACCAATAGAAACCTGATCTCAACGGGGAGCCCCGCACCCAGAGACCCGCCCGGTCTGGCCACAGCCCATTCCCGCTCTGGTGCTGCAGGAGGGGCTCTGTCCTGAAGGGGCAAAGGTTTAAACACAGACAAACAAACACCGTCTACAGATCAGAGAGTCGGTCCCGTGGAGATGTCACTGGGACACACACGGGTTAGAGTGGGAATGAGGGGGGGATCGAGAGAGAGATCTCAGTGTGTCTGAGAGACAGGAAAGCTCCAGCTGTGACCTCGATGGTTCTGTGTATTTGATATAAACTCTCCCCGCGCTCAGTGCAAAGCCCCTGCAGTGTTAGCGGCCGGGCTGGTCTGTGGTGAGGTGACGGCTCCGTCACTCACTGTGTGTCCGTCTCCAGCCTTATTACAGGATCTCTCTGGTCCCGCAGAGCTCGGCATCTTCTCCTGTAATCACACCCCGACGCCATCCGCTCCCACCCCGTATCCCCTTAAACAGCAGACAGTGAATCAAATGGAAACTGAGATAAAGCCACGTCACTGTTAATGTGTTATAACCGGCAGATTCTCAGCGGCTCCAAGTTTTTCCCGCCATCGTTATTACCGGGACAGAAGAGAGGATAAAGTTTCTCAGTGAAAGTGTGGGTGAAAGTGTGGAGATGGGACATGTTGTCAGCGTTGTAAAATGACACCTGTCTCCCCTCATAGTCCAGGTAAACCCCGATCTTCCCGGGTCTCACTGTCAGGGGCAGGCGGGTGGGGCGTGAGGTCAGAGCACAATAGACCCCATCCCCCAACCCCACACCCCAGACCCCATTCTCTGGTGACCAAGTGGTTGGTTGTTTCCTGTTGACAGACTCTATGGCCACTCCCACAGTCCACATTGTCTTGTTGCCCACCTGCACCTCCCAGTAATGTCTCCCTGATGTGACGCCCTCAGATCCCAGGACAATGAGATATTTACTAAACCTCTTCGGGGTGTCAGTGAGCGGCGGCCGTTTGTCGCCGAGTCTCACACTGGTCAGGTCCTCAGACAGGATGAGCCAGGGATTGGCTGTGTCAGGATCCAGAGTCAGAGCGGCCGGAGCTGAGAGAGAGAGAAAGATAACAGTGGAGTGAGGTGGTCACGGAGCGGGGGGGGGGGGGGGCTGCAGGAGTGAGGGCGGGCACTAGGGGGCGGTGTGTGAGCCGGTGGTCAGAGGGTCAGTTGCTGAACACAGGACAAACAGCACTGATGGTGTCCCGCCGCCAGCAGCGGGCGCTGGGGACAGTGTGACTGGGGTCAATATCGGTGTAAACACTCACACAGCGCCTCCTACTGACGGTAACGCGGTAACTACAAGAGTACAGAGCTCTGCGCTGTGTTGCAGTGACATCTCATCATCAACAATGTGTAGTTTGTGAGACTGGTAGTCTGAGAATGGGAGCCATGTACCTGGGCTGATGCTGTGTCTCATGTCTCTCCAGGCTGTGTACTGTATAAGCCATTCAAACATCCCCACAGGCAGATCCCCCTCAGATAATGACAGTTCAAAATCCTTATCACTGATCCCGAAAGAAGTGACGTTCATATTATAAAGTGAAATTAGATATTGTGTTTTGTTTGTGCGCCAATTTCTGGGATATTTGGTAAAAAGAAAATGTCATACCTTCTTTTCCGAGCAGATTGCTCCTAATGAAATCAAACACAGACAGATCTGAGCTCACACTGAGATACCACATTGTAAACTCAGACACACAGAATAGAATTCTGCAGCACACGGTTTCCTGTAATTATTACAGTTATGTTAGTCACTCAGTGTTGTCTCAAAAGCCAGAGTTCAGATAGAGAGCAACTATAAAGTGGTGTTTGTGTGTGTTTTTGTCAGTGACAGACACACAGTGAGACCTCCTCACAGACACACATCCTCACACTCAGTAACTTACAGATACTCACCTGTAGATACAGTAAAAAGAACATTAATGGGATTACACTGTAATTAGATGGTAAATGATAACATTCTCACACAGATGAATAAATGTTAATCCCAGGATAACCACAGCTGAGGTGTCCCTGGATGTTGGCTTTGCAGGGACACTGCAGGCCCAGGGAGTGACTGATGTGGGTTCAGTTCTGTACTGAGTGACAGCAGCAGAGTCGCTATCAGATTATACCAAATAATCAATAAAATCACTGGGCTGTTTAGCATTCAGACTTTGACTTTCTGCTCCAGACTATGTGTAACTTTTACTGAACTAAATTATCATTTCATCTCTTTACCTGCAGAAAGGTGAGAGCGTCTGTCTCCATCTGTTTCTGTAACTCTGCGATCTTTTGTTGAATAGAAGCTAATTTGCCCTGAATCTCTCCCAGACTTTTCTTCATTGGCTGTAAAATCTCCTCCTCTCGCTGTCTGAGCTCTCGGATTACACACTGCTCTCTGTCAGTGAGGCTCTGGTGCATTTTAGCAAACTCAGCCGTGATGTGGTTCTGTTGACTGTCCACCTGTTCCTGTAAAATGAAACGTCAGACATCACAATGCGCACAGTAAAGAGAGACACACGACTGAGAGCCCAGACATCAGCCCCGACACAACTTACCTTCACTTGTGAAATCTTTTGTTTCTGTTTAACTTCAGCTTCTAGAGCTGCGGTCTTCCTTTGTGTGAGAGAAGCTAAGGAGGAGTTCATTTCATCCTGGAATTAAATAGAAACTGTGAGAAAAATCTTGATTAACCAAACAGAGAATTAGATCAGACTGAGCCCGATTGACTGTCTGGTGCCTTTTACCTTATAGATCTGAACAGCCTCCACTATGGGTTTGAAGCTGTGGTGTCTGTGTTCTCGGGCGTCTCTGCAAACCACACACATCAGTTTCTTATCTGTTTCACAGAACAGCTTCAGTTCCTCCTGATGCTCCTCACAGTAAAGTCTTCTTTCTGTCTCTTTTGGGGCCAGGTTCAGCTGTCGAACTTTCTGCACCATCCTCGCCAAGACCCAGTTGCACCTCATGGTTCTCTTGGAAAAGACTGTTCTACATTCGGGACAGGCATTTCTCTCCTTCTTTTCCCAGCTCTGGGTACAGGCGATACAGGAGCGGCAAAAGCTGTGACCACAATCCAGGGTGACCGGATCAGTAAAGATCTCCAGACAAAGCGGACAATTTAAGTCCTCGTTCAGACTCTGGTGTCTGGAAGCCATGGTCACCTCACAGCCCCCCTGGTCACACACCTATCAGTCTCAGGGTTTCCGTGCTGTGTGTGTGTGTCCCGCCCTGGACACCACTCCTTCACTGCTGATCACCTCGATCGCTTTCACCTTTGGAACTGCCACAGTGAAGATTGTGGAGAAGCATCACAGAGATTGAGGAAACAGAGCAAAGTTTATTCTGAACACGGCCCAAAAGTGCTGAGGAGGCATCGTGAGGATAAGATAAGAAACCTGGAAAATATTAACAATAATCCAACGACCTTTGTATTGCGTCTGGACGTTTCAAAGCCCCTCACGGGATTTTACTGCAAAGTGTAGTGACTGTGTATTTTGAGATATTATCCTATGTTCCTGTCTCGGTGGACATTAAAAAAAATTGAAGTTAAGGGCAATAATCCTCGAGTTATAATTGATCATTCACTTCATGATTCTTTGTGGGACATTGCTATATATAAATTGCCTTGTGCGTTCACCTACAATATACACAGTCACTACACTTCACAGTGTGAAGTGCTTCAGGATATCCTCCTGACATGAAAGGTGCCACTTGAAATGCAAAGCTTATTATTAGTTTTATTACGATGATGAGGTTTCGTATGTGGATATAAATTGGACTGAGGTTTAACACCTCATGTGAAGGATGGCGCCTCTGACAATGTGGTGCTCCCCCGGCACAGGGCAGGAGTGTCAGCCCAGACCGTGAGCCCAAACCCCTGACGCGATCTCAGGCCGAAACCATCTCTGCACCACATCAAACCCGGAGTGGTTCGTACCAGGAAATGTGGCCTCAAGACCCCGGACACTGAATTGAAGTGTGTGGGCGGTGCCCCGAACCCAACCCAACCGAGGAGTTTGGCCCCGCGGTCACCCGGAGGCGGCGGAGCGGGAGCGGCGGGGGGGGGGGGGGGCGGGGCTGACTGGGCTCCAGGCCTCTCTCCGGCCTTCTCCCTCTGACCTGCTGCTGTCTCTGGGCTTCAGGCCTCGTCCCTCGTCGCTCTCCCCCTTCAGGGGGTCGTCGTTGCCGCCGCCGACAAAAGGCTCCTGAAGGCGCGCGGGAGCCGCGAGCGCCGACCGTTAGGCGCCGAGGAGCACGTGGGGGGGAGGAGCGGCGCCTGCGCGGTGGCGGCCGATACCCTTATATGGTCAGACCACGTGCTGATGAGCCTCGCGGACGGCCAATGGGCGTCTGTCTTTCAAATAGGGCGGGAGAGAAACACACCCACGTGACGATCCCCGCCCAGACCACGTGACGAGGGAGCGCGCGACAGAGCCGCGAGGCGACTGTTCGGCGGCTCCGACTGTGAGGCGCCGAGGAGCGCGCGGAGCCCCGGCTCGAGGCGGGAGCGGCGCCTGCGCGGTGGCGGCCGAGGCCCAGTCGAGGGTGAGACCACGTGCTGAGGAGCCCCGCGGGCGGCCAATGGGGGACGCGGCGGGAGCCCACGTGATGAGCGGGAGTGGGCGGGAGACAGAGAGGCGCGAGCGGCGACCGTTACAGCTCGAGCTTCACATCCCCCCCACAGGGACAGTTAGAGAGGAGACCCCCCCACAGGGACAGTTAGAGAGGAGACCCCCCCACAGGGACAGTTAGAGAGGAGACCCCCCCCCACAGGGACAGTAGAGAGAGGAGACCCCCCCACAGGGACAGTTAGAGAGGAGACCCCCCCCCACAGGGACAGTTAGAGAGGAGACCCCCCCCCACAGGGACAGTTAGAGAGGAGACCCCCCACAGGGACAGTTAGAGAGGAGACCCCCCCACAGGGACAGTTAGAGAGGAGACCCCCCACACACACAGGGATAGTTAGAGAGAGTGACCAACCCCCCATTTGGACAGTTAGACAGAGAAGAGCCCCCTTCCCCCATCCAGAGACCACCACGTGACGAGGGAGAGTGAGACAGAGCCGTGAGGGGAGCGGTGACCGTGCGGCGGCTCCGACTGTGAGGCCCCGAGGAGTGCGCGGAGCCCCGGCTCGAGGCGGGAGCGGCGTCTGCGCGGTGGCGGCCGAGACCCGTCTACAACAGCAACAACTAACGCTATACAGCGCACTCCACACAGAGCGGCGTCTCAGGGGCTTAACAGGTGCACTGACAAACAGAAGCATTTCCAACTGAACCCAAATCATAGTTTAAACCATAACATATTCCTGACCCCAACATTCCGGGTTGACGTCGGATCAGACACTTTATTGGGAGCAAAGTTGACGCATTGGGTACAATCCGGACACGAACCAATAGAAACCTGATCTCAACGGGGAGCCCCGCACCCAGAGACCCGCCCGGTCTGGCCACAGCCCATTCCCGCTCTGGTGCTGCAGGAGGGGCTCTGTCCTGAAGGGGCAAAGGTTTAAACACAGACAAACAAACACCGTCTACAGATCAGAGAGCCGGTCCCGTGGAGATGTCACTGGGACACACACGGGTTAGAGTGGGAATGAGGGGGGGATCGAGAGAGAGATCTCAGTGTGTCTGAGAGACAGGAAAGCTCCAGCTGTGACCTCGATGGTTCTGTGTATTTGATATAAACTCTCCCCGCGCTCAGTGCAAAGCCCCTGCAGTGTTAGCGGCCGGGCTGGTCTGTGGTGAGGTGACGGCTCCGTCACTCACTGTGTGTCCGTCTCCAGCCTTATTACAGGATCTCTCTGGTCCCGCAGAGCTCAGCGTCTTCTCCCGTAATGACACCCCCCCCACCCCCTCACAGCGCGTAATCTCTTAAACAACAGACAGTGAACAATAAGTAAACTGCTATATAATCACGTCACTGCTCAAGTTGTTATAAGTAGCAATTCTCAGAGGCTCCGAGTTTTTCCCGCCATCGTATTCCCGGGACAGAAGAGAGGATAAAGTTTCTCAGTGAAAGTGTGGGTGAAAGTGTGGAGATGGGACATGTTGTCAGCGTTGTAAAATGACACCTGTCCCCCTCATAGTCCAGGTAAACCCCGATCTTCCCGGGTCTCACTGTCAGGGGCAGGCGGGTGGGGGTGAGGTCAGAGCACAATAGACCCATCCCCCAACCCCACACCTCCAGACCCCACCCCCCGGTGACCAAGTGATTGGTTGTTTCCTGTTTACAGACTCTCTGGCCACCCCCACAGTCCACCAGGTCTTGTTGCCCACCTGCACCTCCCAGTAATGTTTCCCTGATGTGAAGCCCTCAGATCCCAGGACATGGAGATATTAACAAACCTCTTGGGGAGTCAGGGAGCGGCTGCTGTTTGTCTCCATGTCTCACACTGGTCAGGTCCTGAGACAGGATGAGCCGGGGATGGGCTGTGTCAGGATCCAGAGTCAGAGCAGCCGGAGCTGAGAGAGAGAAAAATAACACAAAGTGGAGTGAGAGGGTCACGGAGCGGGGGGGCTGCAGGAGCGAGGGCGGCACTAGGGGGCGGTGTGTGAGCTGGTGGTCAGAGGGTCAGTGGCTGAACACAGGATAAACAGCACTGATTGGGTACCGCCACCAGCAGCGGGCGCTGGGGACAACAACAACAACAAAATGACATGTATAGAGCCTCTTTCACGTCTGGAGGACGTCCCAAAGCGCTGAACAGTCAGGTGTCGGCCCGAGCGTGGGGGAGGGGTGGGGGAGGGGTGAGCGAAGTCAAGAGAGGTGGGAGGGAGACCAAAGGCCACGGTCGAAGAGAAGTGTCTTGAGACCGGCCTTGGAGGAGGCGAGGGAGGAAGTGAGGCGAAGGGACCGTGGTCCAGTGTGGGGGCAGAGAGGCTGAAAGCCCGGCCACCGATGGTAGGGCGGGTCGGGCGGGAGACATGTGTTTAGTCTGTTAGGATCAGGTGAATGTCAAACTATTCACACACCTTCAGTCTGAGAATGGGAGACATGTACCTGGGCTGATGCTGTGTCTCATGTCTCTCCAGACTGTGTACTGTATAAGCCATTCCAACATCCCCACCGGCAGATCCCCCTCAGAAATCAGTCAAATTCTCATCACTGATCCTGAAATAAGAGACGTTCACATTATAAAGTGAAACTACACATTGTGTTTGGTTTGTGCAGTAAATTCTGGGGATATTTTGTGAAGAACATTTCATACCTTCTCTTCCGAGCAGTTTCCTCCTAATGAAATAAAACACAGACAGATCTGAGCTCACACTGAGACACCACATTGTAAACTCAGATACACAGAATAGAATTCTACAGCACACGGTTTCCTGTAATTATTACAGGAATGTTAGTCACTCAATGTTGTCTCCATAGCTCGAAAGTTCAGATAGAGAGCAACTATAAAGTGGTGTTTGTGTGTGTTTATAGTCAGTGACAGACATACAGTGAGACCTCCTTACAGACACACACCCTCACAGTCAGTAACTTACAGATACTCGCCTGTAGATACAGTAAATAGAACGTTAATGGGATTACACTGTAATTAGAAGATAAATTATAATATTCTCACACAGATGAAAAAATGTTAATCCCAGGATAACCACAGCTGAGGTGTCCCTGGATGTTGGCTTTGCAGGGACACTGCAGGCCCTGGGAGTGACTGATGTGGGTTTAGTTCTGTACTGAGTGACAACAGCAGAGTCGCTATCAGATTATACCAAATAATCAATAAAATCACTGGGCTGTTTAACATTCAGACTGTGACTTCCTGCTCCAGACTGTGTGTAAGTTTTACTGAACTAAATTATCATTTCATCTCTTTACCTGCAGAAAGGTGAGAGCATCTGTTTCCATCTGTTTCTGTAACTCTGAGAGTTTTTGCTGAACAGAATCTAATTTGCCCCGAATCTCTCCCAGATTTTTCTCCATTCGGTGTAAAATCTCCTCCTCTCGCTGTCTGAGCTCTCGGATTTCACGCTGCTCTCTGTCAGTGAGGCTCTGGTGCATTTTAGCAAACTCAGCCGTGATGTGGTTCTGCAGACTGTCCGCCTGTTCCTGCAAAATGAATTGTCAGACATCACACTGCGCACAGTAAAGAGAGAAACACGACTGAGAGCCCAGACATCAGCCCCGACACAACTTACCTTCACTTGTGAAATCTTTTCTTTCTGTATAACTTCAACTTCTAGAGCAGTGGCCTTCCTCTTTGTGAGAGAAGCTAAGGAGGATTGCACTTTATCCTGGAATTAAACAAACACACAGAGCAAAAATGTTTGGACGCGAAAACATAAGTAGAATAGAATTAATCCCGTGTGAGAGTTACTGTTACCTTGTAGATTTCAACAGCTTCGTCAATGGGTAGGAAGCTATGATCTCTGTGTTCTCGTGCATCTCTACAGATGGAACAGATCAACTTCTTGTCAGTTTCACAGAACAGCTTCAGTTCTTCCTGGTGTTTCTCACAGAGAAGTTTAATTCTCATGTCTTTCGGGTCCAGGTTCAATTCCCGAGCTGTCTCCGACAGATTCGCGAGTGCCCGACTGACTCTGAGGTTTCTTTCCGGGAAAGTCTTTTTACACACAGGACAGGAGCTCTCCCCCAGCTTTTCCCAGCACCGTGTGATACAGACGCGGCAGAAGCTGTGGCTACAATCCAGGATAACGGGATCAGTAAAGAGATCCAGACAAACCGGACAAATTAACTCCTCGTTCAGACGCTGGTGTGTGGAAGCCATGGTCTCAGTGTTTCTGTGCTGTGTGTGTCCCACTCCTTCACTGCAGATCACGTCGATCACTTTCACCTTTGGAACTGCTAAGGTGAAGATTGTGGAAAAGCGCCACAGAGATTGAGGAAACGGAGCAAAGTTTATTCTAAACACGGCCCGAAAGTGCTGAGGAGGCAGCGTGAGGATAAGATAAGAAACCTGGAAAATATTAACAATAATCCAACGACCTTTGTATTGCATCAGGACGTCTCAAAGCCCCTCACAGGATTTTACTGCAAAGTGTATTGACTGTGTATTTTGAGATATTAAACTGAGATCCGATGTTCCTGTCTCGGTGGACATTAATAAAAGAATTGAAGTTCAGGGCAATAATCCTCGAGTTATAATTGATCATTCACTTCATGATTCTTTGTGGGACATTGCTATATATAAATTGCCTTGTGCGTTCACCTACAATATACACAGTCACTACACTTCACAGTGAGAAGTGCTTCAGGATATCCTCCTGACATGAAAGGTGCCACTTGAAATGCAAAGCTTATTATTAGTTTTATTACGATGATGAGGTTTCGTATGTGGATATAAATTGGACTGAGGTTTAACACCTCATGTGAAGGATGGCGCCTCTGACAATGTGGTGCTCCCCCGGCACAGGGCAGGAGTGTCAGCCCAGACCGTGAGCCCAAACCCCTGACGCGATCTCAGGCCGAAACCATCTCTGCACCACATCAAACCCGGAGTGGTTCGTACCAGGAAATGTGGCCTCAAGACCCCGGACACTGAATTGAAGTGTGTGGGCGGTGCCCCGAACCCAACCCAACCGAGGAGTTTGGCCCCGCGGTCACCCGGAGGCGGCGGAGCGGGAGCGGCGGGTGGGGGGGGGGAGGGGCTGACTGGGCTCCAGGCCTCTCTCCGGCCTTCTCCCTCTGACCTGCTGCTGTCTCTGGGCTTCAGGCCTCGTCCCTCGTCGCTCTCCCCCTTCAGGGGGTCGTCGTTGCCGCCGCCGACAAAAGGCTCCTGAAGGCGCGCGGGAGCCGCGAGCGCCGACCGTTAGGCGCCGAGGAGCACGTGGGGGGGAGGAGCGGCGCCTGCGCGGTGGCGGCCGATACCCTTATATGGTCAGACCACGTGCTGATGAGCTTCGCGGACGGCCAATGGGCGTCTGTCTTTCAAATAGGGCGGGAGAGAAACACACCCACGTGACGATCCCCGCCCAGACCACGTGACGAGGGAGCGCGCGACAGAGCCGCGAGGCGACTGTTCGGCGGCTCCGACTGTGAGGCGCCGAGGAGCGCGCGGAGCCCCGGCTCGAGGCGGGAGCGGCGCCTGCGCGGTGGCGGCCGAGGCCCAGTCGAGGGTGAGACCACGTGCTGAGGAGCCCCGCGGGCGGCCAATGGGGGACGCGGCGGGAGCCCACGTGATGAGCGGGAGTGGGCGGGAGACAGAGAGGCGCGAGCGGCGACCGTTACAGCTCGAGCTTCACATCCCCCCCACAGGGACAGTTAGAGAGGAGACCCCCCCACAGGGACAGTTAGAAGAGGAGACCCCCCCCACAGGGACAGTTAGAGAGGAGACCCCCCCACAGGGACAGTTAGAGAGGGAGACCCCCCCACAGGGACAGTTAGAGAGAGGAGACCCCCCCCACAGGGACAGTTAGAGAGGAGACCCCCCCACAGGGACAGTTAGAGAGGAGACCCCCCCCCACAGGGACAGTTAGAGAGAGGAGACCCCCCCCACAGGGACAGTTAGAGAGAGAGCCCCCCACAGGGACAGTTAGAGAGGAGCCCCCCCCACAGGGACAGTTAGAGAGGAGACCCCCCCACAGGGACAGTTAGAGAGGAGACCCCCCCACAGGGACAGTTAGAGAGGAGACCCCCCACACACACAGGGACAGTTAGAGAGAGTGACCAACCCCCCATTTGGACAGTTAGACAGAGAAGAGCCCCCTCCCCCCATCCAGCGGAGACCACGTGACGAGGGAGAGTGAGACAGAGCCGTGAGGGGAGCGGTGACCGTGCGGCGGCTCCGACTGTGAGGCCCCGAGGAGTGCGCGGAGCCCCGGCTCGAGGCGGGAGCGGCGCCTGCGCGGTGGCGGCCGAGACCCGTCTACAACAGCAACAACTAACGCTCATACAGCGCACTCCACACAGAGCGGCGTCTCAGGGGCTTAACAGGTGCACTGACAAACAGAAGCATTTCCAACTGAACCCAAATCATAGTTTAAACCATAACATATTCCTGACCCCAACATTCCGGGTTGACGTCGGATCAGACACTTTATTGGGAGCAAAGTTGACGCATTGGGTACAATCCGGACACGAACCAATAGAAACCTGATCTCAACGGGGAGCCCCACACCCAGAGACCCGCCCGGTCTGGCCACAGCCCATTCCCGCTCTGGTGCTGCAGGAGGGGCTCTGTCCTGAAGGGGCAAAGGTTTAAACACAGACAAACAAACACCGTCTACAGATCAGAGAGCCGGTCCCGTGGAGATGTCACTGGGACACACACGGGTTAGAGTGGGAATGAGGGGGGGATCGAGAGAGAGATCTCAGTGTGTCTGAGAGACAGGAAAGCTCCAGCTGTGACCTCGATGGTTCTGTGTATTTGATATAAACTCTCCCCGCGCTCAGTGCAAAGCCCCTGCAGTGTTAGCGGCCGGGCTGGTCTGTGGTGAGGTGACGGCTCCGTCACTCACTGTGTGTCCGTCTCCAGCCTTATTACAGGATCTCTCTGGTCCCGCAGAGCTCAGCGTCTTCTCCCGTAATGACACCCCCCCCACACCGCCCCCTCACAGCGCGTAATCTCTTAAACAACAGACAGTGAATCACGTGGAAGCATAAGTAACACTCTGTGCTCTGTAACGCTGTACGGCGTGTAAGACGCTATATAAATCAAAGTTGTTGTTGTTAAGCCACGTCACTGTTACTGTGTTATAACCGGCAGATTCTCAGAGGCTCCGAGTTTTTCCCGCCTTCACTATTACAGGGACAGAAGAGAGGATAAAGCTTCTCAGTGAAAGTGTGGGTGAAAGTGTGGAGATGGGACATGTTGTCAGCGTTGTAAAATGACACCTGTCCCCCCTCATAGTCCAGGTAAACCCCGATCTTCCCGGGTCTCACTGTCAGGGGCAGGCGGGTGGGGGGTGAGGTCAGAGCCTTATAGACCCCACCCCCCAACCCCATACCCCAGACCCCACCCTCTGGTGACCAAGTGGTTGGTTGTTTCCTGTTGACAGATTCTGTGGCCACTCCCACAATCCACATTGTCTTGTTGCCCACCTGCACCTCCCAGTAATGTCTCCCTGATGTGAAGCCCTCAGATCCCAGGACGATGGGATAGTTACTAAACCTCTTCGGGGAGTCAGGGAGCGGCTGCCGTTTGTCTCCGAGTCTCACACTGGTCAGGTCCTCAGACAGGATGAGCCGGGGATGGGCTGTGTCAGGATCCAGAGTCAGAGCGGCCGGAGCTGAGAGAGAGAAAAATAACAGAATGGAGTGAGGGGGTGACGGACCGGGGGGGGGGGGGCTGCAGGAGCGAGGGCGGGCACTAGGGGACGATGTGTGAGCGGGTGGTCAGAGGGTCAGTGGCTGAACACAGGATAAACAGCACTGATCGGGTGTCCGAGCATGGGGCAGGGGTGGGGTGGGGTAGGGGTGACGGGTGGGGGAGGGGTGGTGTAGTGGTGAGGGAGGTGTGGGGAGGGTGGGTTAGGGTGAGAGCTGGGAAGTCAAAGCGGTGGGAGGGAGACCAAAGGCCACGCTCACACAGACGCCTCTTGAGACTGGACGTGAACGAGGCCAGGGAGGAACTGAGGAGAAGGACCGAGGTCCAGTGTGCGGCTGTGAGGCTGAAAGCCCGGCCACCGATTGTAGGGCGGGTCGGGCGGGAAACATGTGTTTAGTTTGTGAGGATCAGGTGACTGTCAGATATTCACACACCTTCAGTCTGAGAATGGGAGCCATGTACCTGGGCTGATGCTGTGTCTCATGTCTCTCCAGACTGTGTACTGTAGAGGCCCTTTGTATATCCCCACCGGCAGATCCCCCTCAGATAGTGACAGTGTATAATCTTCATCACTGATCCTGAAATAAGAGACGTTCACATTATAAAGTGAAACTACACATTGTGTTTGGTTTGTGCAGTAAATTCTGGAGATATTTTGTAAAGAACATTTCATACCTTCTTTTCCGAGCAGTTTCCTCCTAATGAAATAAAACACAGACAGATCTGAGCTCACACTGAGACACCACATTGTAAACTCAGATACACAGAATACAATTCTACAGCACACGGTTTTCTGTAATTATTACAGGAATGTTAGTCACTCAATGTTGTCCCCAAACCCAGAAAGTTCAGATAGGGAGCAATGATAAAATGGTGTTTGTGTGTTTATAGTCAGTGACAGACACACAGTGAGACCTCCTTACAAACACACATCCTCACGGTCAGTAACTTACAGATACTCACCTGTAGATACAGTAAAAAGAACATTAATGGGATTACACTATAATTAGAAGGTAAATGATAACATTCTCACACAGATGAATAAATGTTAATTCCAGGATAACCACAGCTGAGGTGTCCCTGGATGTTGGCTTTGCAGGGACACTGCAGGCCCTGGGAGTGACTGATGTGGGTTCAGTTCTGTACTGAGTGACAGCAGCAGAGTCGCTATCAGATTATACCAAATAATCAATAAAATCACTGCGCTGTTTAACAGTCAGACTGTGACTTTCTGCTCCAGACTGTGTGTAACTTTTACTGAACTAAATTATCATTTCATCTCTTTACCTGCAGAAAGGTGAGAGCGTCTGTCTCCATCTGTTTCTGTAACTCTGAGATCTTTTGCTGAACAGAATTTAATTTGCCCCGAATCTCTCGCAGGTTTTTATCCATTCGGTGTAACACCTCCTCCTCTCGCTGTCTGAGCTCTCGGATCACACGCTGCTCTCTGTCAGTGAGGCTCTGGTGCATTTTAGCAAACTCAGCCGTGATGTGGTTCTGGTGACTGTTCACCTGTTCCTGCAAAATGAAGCGTCAGCCATCACACAGCGCACAGTAAAGAGAGAAACACGACTGAAAGCCCAGACATCAGCCCCGACACAACTAACCTTCACTTGTGAAATCTTTTCTTTCTGTTTCCCTTCAGCTTCCAGAGCTGCGGCCTTCCTCTGTGTGAGAGAGTCTAAGGAGGATTGCACTTTATCCTGGAATTAAATAGAATCAGTGAGAAAAGTCTTATTTAAACAAACAGAGAATTAGATCAGACTGAGCCCGATTGACTGTCTGGTGCCTTTTACCTTATAGATCCGAACAGCCTCCGCTACGGGGATGAAGCTGTGGGTTCTGTGTTCTCGGGCGTCTCTGCAAACCACACACATCAGTTTCTTGTCTGTTTCACAGAACAGTTTCAGTTCCTCCTGATGCTCCTCACAGTAAGGTCTTCTTTCTGTCTCTTTCGGGGCCGGGTTCAGCTGTCGAACTTTCTGCACCATCCTCGCCAAGACCCAGTTGCACCTCATGGTTCTCTTGGAAAAGACTGTTCTACATTCGGGACAGGCATTTCTCTCCTTCTTTTCCCAGCTCTGGTTACAGCAGATACAGGAGCGGCAAAAGCTGTGACCACAATCCAGGGTGACCGGATTAGTGAAGATCTCCAGACAAACCGGACAATTTAACTCCTCGTTCAGACTCTGGTGTCTGGAAGCCATGGTCACCTCACGGCCCCCCTGGTCACACACCTATCAGTCTCAGTGTTTCTGTGCTGTGTGTGTCCCACTCCTTCACTGCTGATCACGTCGATCACTTTCACCTTTGGAACTGCTACGGTGAAGATTGTGGAAAAGCACCACAGAGATTGAGGCAACGGAGCAAAGTTTATTCTGAACACGGCCCGAAAGTGCTGAGGAGGCAGCGTGAGCATAAGATAAGAAACCTGGAAAATATTAACAATAATCCAACGACCTTTGTATTGCATCAGGACGTCTCAAAGCCCCTCACGGGATTTTACTGCAAAGTGTAGTGACTGTGTATTTTGAAATATTAAACTGAGATCCGATGTTCCTCTCTCGGTGGACATTAATAAAAGAATTGAAGTTCAGGGCAATAATCCTCGAGTTATAATTGATCATTCACTTCATGATTCTTTGTGGGACATTGCTATATATAAATTGCCTTGTGCGTTCACCTACAATATACACAGTCACTACACTTCACAGTGTGAAGTGCTTCAGGATATCCTCCTGACATGAAAGGTGCCACTTGAAATGCAAAGCTTATTATTAGTTTTATTACGATGATGAGGTTTCGTATGTGGATATAAATTGGACTGAGGTTTAACACCTCATGTGAAGGATGGCGCCTCTGACAATGTGGTGCTCCCCCGGCACAGGGCAGGAGTGTCAGCCCAGACCGTGAGCCCAAACCCCTGACGCGATCTCAGGCCGAAACCATCTCTGCACCACATCAAACCCGGAGTGGTTCGTACCAGGAAATGTGGCCTCAAGACCCCGGACACTGAATTGAAGTGTGTGGGCGGTGCCCCGAACCCAACCCAACCGAGGAGTTTGGCCCCGCGGTCACCCGGAGGCGGCGGAGCGGGAGCGGCGGGGGGGGGGGGGAGGGGCTGACTGGGCTCCAGGCCTCTCTCCGGCCTTCTCCCTCTGACCTGCTGCTGTCTCTGGGCTTCAGGCCTCGTCCCTCGTCGCTCTCCCCCTTCAGGGGGTCGTCGTTGCCGCCAACAACAAAAGGCTCCTGAAGGCGCGCGGGAGCCGCGAGCGCCGACCGTTAGGCGCCGAGGAGCACGTGGGGGGGAGGAGCGGCGCCTGCGCGGTGGCGGCCGATACCCTTATATGGTCAGACCACGTGCTGATGAGCCTCGCGGACGGCCAATGGGCGTCTGTCTTTCAAATAGGGCGGGAGAGAAACACACCCACGTGACGATCCCCGCCCAGACCACGTGACGAGGGAGCGCGCGACAGAGCCGCGAGGCGACTGTTCGGCGGCTCCGACTGTGAGGCGCCGAGGAGCGCGCGGAGCCCCGGCTCGAGGCGGGAGCGGCGCCTGCGCGGTGGCGGCCGAGGCCCAGTCGAGGGTGAGACCACGTGCTGAGGAGCCCCGCGGGCGGCCAATGGGGGACGCGGCGGGAGCCCACGTGATGAGCGGGAGTGGGCGGGAGACAGAGAGGCGCGAGCGGCGACCGTTACAGCTCGAGCTTCACATCCCCCCACAGGGACAGTTAGAGAGAGGAGACCCCCCCACAGGGACAGTTAGAGAGGAGACCCCCCCACAGGGACAGTTAGAGAGGAGACCCCCCCCACAGGGACAGTTAGAGAGGAGACCCCCCCACAGGGACAGTTAGAGAGGAGACCCCCCCCACAGGGACAGTTAGAGAGGAGACCCCCCCCACAGGGACAGTTAGAGAGAGGAGACCCCCCCACAGGGACAGTTAGAGAGAGAGACCCCCCCACAGGGACAGTTAGAGAGGAGACCCCCCCACAGGGACAGTTAGAGAGGAGACCCCCCCCACAGGGACAGTTAGAGAGGAGACCCCCCCACAGGGACAGTTAGAGAGGAGACCCCCCCACAGGGACAGTTAGAGAGGAGACCCCCCCACAGGGACAGTTAGAGAGGAGACCCCCCCACAGGGACAGTTAGAGAGGAGACCCCCCCACAGGGACAGTTAGAGAGGAGACCCCCCACAGGGACAGTTAGAGAGGAGACCCACCACCCACAGGGACAGTTAGAGAGGAGACCCCCCCCACAGGGACAGTTAGAGAGAGTGACCACCCCCCATTTGGACAGTTAGACAGAGAAGAGCCCCCTCCCCCCATCCAGAGACCACCACGTGACGAGGGAGAGCGAGACAGAGCCGTGAGGGGAGCGGTGACCGTGCGGCGGCTCCGCCTGTGAGGCCCCGAGGAGTGCGCGGAGCCCCGGCTCGAGGCGGGAGCGGCGTCTGCGCGGTGGCGGCCGAGACCCGTCTACAACAGCAACAACTTGCGCTCATACAGCGCACTCCACACAGAGCGGCGTCTCAGGGGCTTAACAGGTGCACTGACAAACAGAAGCATTTCCAACTGAACCCAAATCATAGTTTAAACCATAACATATTCCTGACCCCAACATTCCGGGTTGACGTCGGATCAGACACTTTATTGGGAGCAAAGTTGACGCATTGGGTACAATCCGGACACAAACCAATAGAAACCTGATCTCAACGGGGAGCCCCACACCCAGAGACCCGCCCGGTCTGGCCACAGCCCATTCCCGCTCTGGTGCTGCAGGAGGGGCTCTGTCCTGAAGGGGCAAAGGTTTAAACACAGACAAACAAACACCGTCTACAGATCAGAGAGTCGGTCCCGTGGAGATGTCACTGGGACACACACGGGTTAGAGTGGGAATGAGGGGGGATCGAGAGAGAGATCTCAGTGTGTCTGAGAGACAGGAAAGCTCCAGCTGTGACCTCGATGGTTCTGTGTATTTGATATAAACTCTCCCCGCGCTCAGTGCAAAGCCCCTGCAGTGTTAGCGGCCGGGCTGGTCTGTGGTGAGGTGACGGCTCCGTCACTCACTGTGTGTCCGTCTCCAGCCTTATTACAGGATCTCTATGGACCCGTAGAGCTCGGCATCTTCTCCTGTAATGACCCCCCGACCCCATCCGCTCCCACCCCGTATCCCTTAAACAGCAGACAGTGAATCAAATGGAAACTGAGATAAAGCCACGTCACTGTTACTGTGTTATAAGCAGCAGATTCTCAGAGGCTCAGAGTTTTTCCCGCTATCGCTCTGGTGGGGATTGAAGAGAGGATAAAGTTTCTCAGTGAAAGTGTGGGTGAAAGTGTGGAGATGGGACATGTTGTCAGCGTTGTAAAATGACACCTGTCCCCCCTCATAGTCCAGGTATACCCCGATCTTCCCGGGTCTCACTGTCAGGGGCAGGCGGGTGGGAGGTGAGGTCAGCGCCCAATAGACCCCACCCACCAGCCACACCCCCCAGACCCCACCCTCTGGTGACCAAGTGATTGGTTGTTTCCTGTTGACAGACTCTGTGGCCACTCCCACAATCCACGCAGTCTTGTTGCCCACCTGCACCTCCCAGTAATGTCTCCCTGATGTGAAGCCCTCAGATCCCAGGACGATGGGATAGTTACTAAACCTCTTCGGGGTGTCAGGGAGCGGCTGCCGTTTGTCTCCGTGTCTCACACTGGTCAGGTCCTCAGACAGGATGAGCTCGGGATGGGCTGTGTCAGGATCCAGAGTCAGAGCGGCCGGAGCTGAGAGAGAGAGAAAAATAACAGAGTGGAGTGAGGGG